AATATTAATATAAATAATAATGTTAATCTAGCTGAAGCTGAACTCTGAATCAAGTACACCCAACTAGCGCACTTTAACTAAACTGCTAAATGAACTATAAAAACTCTGAGCACTCCACTACTACGTTCCATTTAATGGCAGATACAATGCAGTCTACAAAGCAGTCTTTTGCTAAGACAAAAGAATAACACCAGACTGATTTGGGTTGCTATTGTTCTACGGCTGAGTATTAGAATTTCATTATTTATATTTCTAAAACTTGAATTTGTCCATAAAGTGTTTTCATATATGAAGAAAACATGTTTATGTATTCAGAGCATATTAAATGCGATATAATTGGTGTAGTAGCTATTGTGAAAGCAAATATTGATGCAAATTGCGATAGCAAATAGATTTTTGTTTTGGCTTCGCAACGCTGTGAGATACTCACTCCACTTGCTGCCCTTCAGGACCGGACAGCCGGCGTGCTTGGTGCGATAGTCCTTGTCCGAGGATCGATGCAAATTGTACCAAAACAAAATGTTGCCTAGCTGCGGCCGCACGGCAAAGTTGAGAAAGGGAAAGGCCGTGGCGCCACCCTGCTCCACATCCGACAGCTGCAGCGGCCCGTAATAGAAACATTTTGTACATGAGTCAATGGACACATCGAGGCCTAGGCCGTAAAGTCAACTTACATAAAATATGGCCGTGGCGATGCGATTGCCCTCGGCGGCGGGATAGTGGCGCGAATCACGAAAGAAATCCCAGTGGGGCTCGTAGTGCCCGCCGACGCCGTAATTGGCCACCTGCAGTTGCTCGCAGTAGGTCATGTCCAGGCCGGTGGCGTCGCCCACGTCGCGCAACATCCGCCCCATCATGGGGTGCGTGCTGTACGGCAGCCATGCGTTCTTGCTCACGCGGAACGCGGACTTCATGCGCTGCCCGCCGGGCAGCGGATTAACCGTGGAGCGTTGCATGTGCGGCACCGCCATGGCGCGCAGCTCGCCAATTTGCTGGGGGCTGAGCATGTCGTGGTAGCTAACCACCAGTGGGTCGAGGCTGTGCTCCTCCAGCTTGAGCGGCGCCAGCAGCCGATAGGCGTGCCGCCCACGTGCATAGCGACAGCGCAGCCGTCGCTGCTGGGCGGCAGAGGGGCCGACCTCGCCGCGGCACACCTTCTCGTAGTGGGCGAACTCCTGGGTGAGCTGTGGGCGTATCGAAAGCCAAAATTAGTCGCATAGCCACAAGGATAAATCGAACTGAAGGTCTCACTCTGTAGCCGGCTGCTTGCCGTGAATGCGCCCCCTCATCGCCGTCGTGCGGCAGGTTGGCGGCCTTATCACCCAGATGCCAGTTTCGTATGCGCGATGGATCCAGCTCGAGGACGCGCTGGCTGAGCTCGTATGCCGTGTCGAAGTCGCCTAAAATCGTTTGGTAAATATGCATGCAAGTTGGGCCAGCTGAGTGGCAAGTGAGTGACTCTGCTCACCCATACGGAATAAACTCTGTGCCACCGTTTCCATGCTGTTCAGCAGGGCGGGCTCTGGGGTGCTGGGGCGGGGCTGATGGCGCCGCAATCGCTCCATGGACTCGCGCAGCCACACTTTCGTGTTGTTGTAGTCCTCCATTTCAAAGAGTTGTTGACCCAACACAAAGCAATCCTGCCAGCTCATGTCCGTGCTAAAAATAATGCCAGCACAAAAATCGAAATGAATATGAGTGGTGCTTGGGCTGGTCACACGACCCACGACACACGATTCACCACAACTAAAACTGGAACGGAGCCGCAATACTCGAAGGTGTGCGAATGTGTAGGGCGAGCTTAGATTAATATTCATACAACACGATTCCGCACGATTGGGTTTATCTACGATAGATTTATCTAGAATAGTCACGGCACTTTAACCGCAACGCTTTGAGTCCGCTCCTGCCCACAGTTGAATAGTGTGAGTATGCGTGTGTGTGTGTGTGTGTGTGTGTGTGGGTGTAGTACTCCTGCATTTTAAGCTTGACTGGTTATTGCTTATTTGGGCTGTCCTCCTCCTCCACCCATTCACTCACCCGTATTTGATGCCATTCAATATGCCGGCAGCCACTTGAGCTACATCCAATTTATAGGTGCTCTGCAGGCGAACTAATGCTAGTGCGGCGCCGTCCACATCCTCCTGGCTGGGAAAGCTCAGGCCATAGTGTTGTGAAATGTTGAAGCCTGAAATAATTCATTTGAGTTTCCGTTTAGGCAATTTCATGCCGGATACGTACGGAGTTGAGCGCTCAATTGCTGGACTCGACTGTCCACATGTGGCCAGTCCGTGTGGAGGCGCTTCATCAGCCGATAGACATTCACCGGATTGGTCAGATAATTCTCCAGGCCTTTGGCTGCCAGCGCATGCTCCAGCTTTATGGCCGACAGCTCTCTGTGGATCAGGTTGTGGATGTTGGCTTAGACGAGTTCTAAACTCTAATCATAAATCGATAGCTACCAGTTTCTCTGCCGTCATAGACATAGACCAAGACGGCAGAACTTAATTAATTCTAATTCATTTCAGCATCTACGTGATTTTAAACACAAAACTTTTTCTTTCTAGCGAGAGCGAAATGCTAAATGCCAAACTGCAAGAGTTTGTGGAATAGTTGTTTGAATGGAAAATTCTATTCGAATGCTTTATAGTATATTTTATAGTATATTTTTATGGACAGTTCATGATAAACTCGGATCAATGATCAATAAAAAACCCATTGAATAGTGGCTGACATTTAGCTAACCCGAAACTGATTAGCATTTAGTGAATAGACAGAGCTAAGACTGAACTAGGTACCAGATTAGGTAATTAAGTAATTCAGAGTAATTATAATTACTTTCCATTAAACTATGCTATACTTACCTTTCTAACTGTACTAGAACAGTTTTAGCCGCATCCAGCTGGGAGCTCAAATCACTCAACAAAATCTGTTCCGTGTGCAGCAACTGCTCCAGTCCTGTAATGGATGAGAAGTAATCCGAGGCCTGGCAACAGCACAGGCTGGCCAGCACACCTAGTGCCAGCAGTCCAGTGTCGACACGCATCCTAACTACCAGGTATATATAAAGGGGATATAGCAGCCGAATACTATGTTAGCCGTCTGCAATGCCTCGCGTCTCACAACAAACTGATCAGCATCGGCTGGCGCAGCTTGGAGTGAACATCCCCATGAGAGATCAGCGAATAAAAGCACTGATGACAGACACTTTGGCACACGCGATCAGAAGATCGGATACCCGCGACCAGGTGCTAACTACATAGAACACTATATGCATAAACAATTAATGCGCGGCTATGTCTATGTCTATGTCTATGTCTATGTCTTTATCTATGTCTATGTCGAGCAGTATGAAATATTAGATGTCGCCTTATGAGCCACTCTAATGAAGAGCATACGAGTTTCGTGGCGATTAAGCGTGTTTTATGGCTTTGCCAAAGCTGATTTAGTGATGCTTATCATTAGCTCGTTTTCGTTTTCGTTGTCGCTGTTGACCAGGCCCAAGTTCTAGTTCTCTCTACTCACCACTGTCGCGGCATATCGTTGCCTTATCCGATGGCTTATTAATTCTACCTAATTAAGAACGCGTTGTTTGATATTTAATAATACAGTCGACAATAACGATGCGACAGTGTTGGAAAGCGTTGCGCTGGCTAATAAGTCAACATAAGTATACCCTGTAATTTTTAGATAAGCAATAAATCTAATATTGTATTATTAAAATATTTATTTAAAACATACTGAAGATTTTAATGCAGGTCTTATACATTTTAAAAATTTTTTTTATTTTTTTTTTATTTTTATTTTTTTTTTTTTTTAAGTTGTAGTATATTTTTTGATTTTATAATCAATCAGACGTTGACACTTTAACTGAGGATTACGACACAAAATGTATCAATTGCCTTCAGTAATATTTTATCGATTTCTGAAAACAATGAACAAAAACAGGGTATGTCGCTTAGCGGTTTTTTATTGGATTTTGTATTTATTAATGGGCGAGTAAAATTCGTTTTAAGTGCCATTGTTTGTTTTAATTGACATTTGATTTACACCGACATCTAGTGAGCTTAGCATTTGCGAATTTCTGTTCGTATTTATGAGTATTTAATATTGACTTTAACTATTTCCTGTTGTCAGACGACAAAAGAGATTTGACCAAAACCAGACAAACGCTCAGCTCGAATGTTCATTAGGCGATGCTGTGATGCATAAATATTGAAATTCGCTTGCTCTTTAATTAGTGAACGGCCACGCCTGTGAAATGGGCGTGAAAGTGCAAATGGAATTCAATAAAATGTTGGCATTGCGGTTTTTGTTTTCCATTGCGGCAATTAGGGATAGATTAAAAGGCACATCAAGCAGTAGTAACTCTGGAATACTGTGAGGCCTTAGCTAAGCTGTGTCCAGGCCGCTGAAAGAAATGAAAAACAAGTAAGAAAGCTCCAGTCGAGACTGCTCGACTAGGAGATACCCTGAACCCTCCAAGCTGATATTCTAATCATTCTGCACTTCTTTTATGCACAAATACATACACATGCTTCCACACGCACGCATAAGCCTGCGCTCTGCTAACTGCGCAGTAAGCAGCGACTGCGCTTGGGCTGCGCTGCAGTGTGGGCAATATTATGAGAATTTATTTGTTAAATAATTTCTTTTGTAGACATACGATCTTAATGAAACTTTTAGAGCGTAATCATATGGTGAATATGTGTGTATATTCCAAAGCCCAAGTCTCTAGTATTTGAAATACGCTTTTTACAAAAGTGAGGGTGAGGGGGTGAATTTAAGGGTGGGGGGTAAATTTTAACAAAAACCGAAATTGTATAAANCGGACGGACGGACGGACGGACGGACGGACGGACGGACGGACGGACGGACGGACGGACGGACGGACGGACGGACAGACGGACAGGGCTATATCGACTCAGCTCGTCGCGCTGATCAAGAATATATATACTTTGTGGGGTCTGCCACGCCTCCTTCTGCCCGTTACATACTTTTTCACAAAACCATTATACCCTGATTTCCCATTTTCAATGGGTTCAGGGTATAACAAGCACATCTACATCAGGAAGATTCTTGTGGAAGGTGTCGCTGTTGCTCTACTTACTCAGCTGTGTGCCCAGCAGCACCGGGCAGACCAGCTGGCGGCTTCGGTAATCTGGCCTCGACGTGGCTGTATGCTCATCCCGGCTGCGTTGACTCCAGTAGAGCAGCGCGCCGCGTGGGACGCACACGCTGAGCTCCAGTTGCGGGAAGACAATGGCGCCGCCCAGCCTGGCCTCTTGCAGCTAATGGATGGAGTGAGACGATAATAGACCAATTAGTGACATATTAGTTAATCATTGCATTTAAATTACGCACGCTGAGCAGAGCACGTGCCGCATGTTCGGCTGTGCTCGATGGCTCCGCTGGTGGTGTGACGTGCTCGTGACTGTGCCGACGTGCCTGCCACAGCTCTGGCTCCACGCTGCCAATGCCCAGTTGACTGTGGATGCCACGCAACCTTAGCTGCGCCAGCTTAGTGAACTGCAAAGGCTCAAAGGCCTCTCTCCTGGAGCGCCGCTGCTGCGGCAGCTCATCCAGCATACCAATTAGCCGTTCGGTCTGCTGAGAGCTGAGCACATCATGATACAGCATGATGTATGGCTCCTCACTCAGCTGCTCCAAGCGCAGCATGCGCAGATTCGCAACATCTTGGCGGCACTCTGTGAAGCGGCTACCTGTTACGGGCTGCTGTGCGGACGACCGACACAACTCATCAACAATCAACTGCTCAACGGATTTTGTTGACTTGAAATGAATTTAAAGAAGAATACGTTGAAGTCGACAAGCATGTACATATTATAGATATATTTAATTATATATGTAAATATATTAGAAGACAATGGGGTTTGCAATTACTCAGCTGGGAACATAACTGAATTTTATACAATTCTGCAGTATCAGGTAAATATGTGGAGCGGAAGATAACGTGAAGAATGTAGAAAATTGTGAAAAAAATTTATATATATACTGCTATATAAACTGAGCAATTCAATAATAGAAATTTAACAATTGAAAGTATTTGAACAAATTCCTAAAATATTTTAGAAGTAGAAAGTATTAAATTTTAATATTTGCCTTTCGAAAAGTCTACTTTATATAGTAAATTGATATTTATAGAATTGATATTATAGATCGGCATGTAATGATACATATATATTAATATACATTTACAATTTGTATAGCCGTCCCGCTTATCTAATTGCTTTGAAAACACAACACACACAACTTATTTAGTTATATATTAATATTTGTAAAAATAAAATATATAGCAAATATTGCTAATCAACAGTTAATAAATTATTTGTCAAATTAAAGATTTTTGTTATTCTCATTATTTTCAAGTTAATTACAAAAGATCAAGGAGTTCGCGCTGTACAAAAAGTAGTCTTTTTTAGAGAAGTTCTCATATGATAAGCTCTTGTTCTGTAATATTTTGAAGATTGACTCCAAAGAATATACAAATCGGACAAAGTCTTCGAGGCGTTTTTTACGAAAATTGAAAATCCAATTTGATGCATCCAATAGGGGCTATTATAATACATATAAATATGAATGCAATGAAGCAAAAGTGTCCTCCTCTATTAACTTGCCAAAAATCACATACATGTGTATAACATTGGGTGCTAGGCATATCGGTATAACATATATCTTATATTTGTATATATAACCTATATCTGCCAACCTATATCTTCTCTGTTTCCAACTTAGAGCTATGAGATGAGACACTTAAGGCAGATTCTTTCTAACTTCTAAAAGAGTTTCAACTACTTTCTTTTCCCATGAACTCCATCTTCGTTTCTCCCTATGAAAATGCTCGAAGTAAATAGTACAAAGTGATGATTTATCGGGCTATTGTTGGTTTGCTTGTGAAAACTTGTGCAATTCTGTTTACCTTTGCCTTCAGCTTCCTGTTGGGCACGAACTTGACAGGACTTCCGTTTAAAGCACGTTCTATCTCGGCTTTTGCTTTTTGTGCACTGCGGCTGGCAGGACGCAGGAGCAACAATTCTTTGGCTGTTGTGAGTGCGCTCAAAAATTCACCTGAAGCGAACAAGGAATTTATAGAAAATATAAAAGAAAAAAACTTCTATGAATGCCAGTGAGATGGACCTGCACGGTAATCCATATTGAGCGATGCCTCCAGTATTTTAATCCTGGCCCGTTCCTGCTCGCTGACCGATATTGTAGCATTCTGCTCAGCTGCCAGCATTCCCATCGCCGTCTCCAGCCAGTGCTTGGCTACGGCGTGGTCGCCATTCCTCTCCGACTTGCGAGCTATCTCCAGACAGTCACTCCACGACATGGCCGAGCTGTTCGAATTGAAGCGTCTATGTAGCCTGTGCTTTGCATTTGTTTGCATTTCTCTGGGTATACTCACCCCACCTTCAGGCCGTGGACTATGCCCAGCGAGAGGGCGGCTGGCTTGAGGTCGTATACGGATTGCAGTCGCAGCAGATTGAGCAAAGCCGCCTCGTAGTCCTCCTCGCTGGGCAGCTGTAAATCCAACTGATAATCTGGAAGATTTATGGCCAGATTTTGGCTGGCATTCGCCTGTTGCTCAAGCAGCGGCCAAACGCTTTGGAAACGTTTGAGTATGGTGAGCACATTGAGTGGATTGCCCATGTGCTCCTCCACCCGCTCGCCGACCAGCCGATGCAGTTGCTCTATGGCCGCTGTCTCACTTTTAATCGCCGCCAGCTGTTGATCTAAGGCATCTATATAGTCGCGCAGTGCGTTGATGAGCAAGTTCTCGGTGGTCAGCAGCCCCCGTAAGTGCTCCTCTTCAGTGCTGCCACTCACAGCTCTTGGCCACATCAAAGCGAGCCAAAGTAGCCACAGCCATCGCTTTGTTGCTGCTGTTGGCATTTGCATAATTAGCCTTTGTTGTTGCTGTTTTTATTCCCGTCCGGGTCAATGGCTGGCAAGTTTTTTATATATGTTAAAAAATAATGCCTGCTTATGGGTGCCAAAGCTGCTATGCTGTAACAATTGACCAAGCCGCTCGGCTGCTGCGGCTAAACTGAGAGGTAGAAACTGTGAACGGCCATGAGAAAGGTGTAAGAGGCAAACTGCCTTTTAAATACTAAAGTATATTCTATAATTCTCTTCTGAATTCTCTCTGTTCGCTGTTCTCTGCTTTGTTTATTTCTTGTCTTGCGAATCTATTGTTGTTAGAAGAGCAAGTCATATAGTCATATATACTGAAGCCTGAAGCATAGATTTATACAATTATTGGGTTTCTAATCTAATCAGGCTATAGAAATGCTAGCCGTAAAACGTTTCCATTGAGTCGAGCTGCTATCACACGGGTTATTCTCTCTTTTCAAATCCTTTTAAATAAATGAGTGAACTTGAAGATTTAATTAAGTTGACTAGGCAAAGTAATTAACACAAATGTCAAGTTAAACATTTACCCTACGTTAATAGCTATAAAGTTACTCAAGTGAAAATAATTCATAAATTTATATAAAAATTCTATTCGCATTTTAAATATCTAACTCATTTCCTTAGTTACCTACAGAAAGTAATTTATAATTGCATATACAGGATATTTACACGATACAGGATAGTTACGCAATCGGATTTACGAATTACGTAATTAATGTTATGTTCATTCGTGTATAGACAAACATGTATTAGGAATTATGTATGAGCCAAGGTTAACTGTTACTTAATATGTCAAAGAACTTGCACTCAATTCCAGCGAATTTCGCCTTGCCCTGGTTATTGAGCTAATTTCCTCATCGTCTTCATGATTAAGACAATTTCAAGGAATTAATTACGTCTGTAAAGGAGCTTCAACTGATGTCTTAATAAGCGTAATTAGTCCTTCTGTCGCTTTGTTAACTTCTAGCTCTCCATTTCAAGCTTTGAAGCCTTCTCGAATCACTTTCGCTTCGTTGTACGTAACAAGTTCACCTAAGCCACTAAGCCCTCATTTAAGCAGAAATTCGGACTGCATAGCTAAGATACATTGGCATGAAATGCATTTAATTATGCTTCAATTCGTATTTAAGTGGGCTATCAACCGAGCGTAAACTGATGGACTACTGGTTGGTAAAATTGCTGATATGATTTAAAGTGTTTCAATTTACTTATAATTTTCCTTCACTCTCTCTCTCTCTCTCTCTCTCTCAGTCTGGTTCGCATATCAGGGTAAACATTTTAAAATCTGCATGAAGCGTGGCATTTATTTGTTTATGATATTCATGTATATATATATTTATATTTGAATAAATGAATGAAACAATGTGTATAACAGTTCTCTGACATATATGTAAATTAAAATTGATTTTATTGCTCGGCAAATATTTGTATTGTTTACCTTTTTCCCCATTTTGAGTTTATTTGAATAGGGTATGTCAGGAATACATATTCTCTTACATATATACGTATATATAAGAACTTTATTGATAAAATGTTTATATTACGCTGCTATATTTTTCTGACTTTAATATTAATTTTAACACATTGTCCAACAAAATTTTATCTCTGCTGAAAAACTCAACTTTACATATACAAATTTACATAGTTTAATTTAATAACAATACATTCAATTAGATATCAATTTTATTTGTGAAATCAATTGCTATTAAAGCTCTAAGTGATTCTCATCCGTTTCCTCATCCACCGTTACCTTTGATATCCTTATGCGATCGAGCAGCAGCTCCGTTTCTAGCAAGGTTTTAGTATTGAGGGCTTCCTGATTGGTCGGTTCGAGTTTTAGAATTTCGTTAGTGAGCTTATAAGCGAGCTTAGTGTTGTTTAGCTTCTTGTATACCAGAGCCAGGTGTTGCAGAATATGTATTTTACTGGCACTCGCCGAGGTTTCCAGAGATGCACGCTTGCGCGCCTGCTGTAGCCACTGAGCTGCATATTCATAGCTCTGCAGTTCATAAAAACTGCTTCCGATTTCGTAGCATTCGCTGGCGCTCAGAGTCACATTCTTGTCAGTATAGAAATCCCTCAGCACAACTTCGTTGGCTAGCTCAGAGGTGGGAATGCGTGTGAGCTCCTGCATATCCAATAGATTGCCAGCGGCGATGAGGAGATCCTCATTCGTGGGTCCTCTAAGTTTCTTTTTATCCATCTCGGTATCGATCGCACTTATATATTCGCTATGCGTATTGTTTTCCAGCAACACATCAAATATCTCATGCTTCCAGAGGCTGGCGAACCGATTAATGGTCAAGAACGCGTTGATTGGATTACCATAGTACTCCTCCGGACTATTCATATGCTCGTGTAAATTGTCGATGTCGGTCAAGTAACTGTGCAGTAAATACATATATTATTTCTATTATTTAATTTGAGCTTGCGTCGAATCTACCTTGAAATCGTCTCTTGCTCATTCTGCACCTTGTCCACATATGACTCCAAGTGCTTCACCAGCACCGCCTCCAATTGCAGAAAACTATCTATTCCCATAGTGGGTCCAGCACATTCGGCTACAATATAACCAAATTCCAAGCATCCCAATCCGAGCATCAATAGAACCGCACTCAGTCGAACCATTTTGCCAAATGACTGACTTTCCATTTCTGATATTAGAGTTAGATTTGGGTTGGAACTATGAAGAAATCTGGGCAAATATTTACACAGTTGTCCGCTCTTGCTTGTTGGCTTATATTTTGTGTAGCGACAACATAATGAAGGGGTCGGGGGGAATGAAGACAGGGGAGTTTAACAGCAGCTGAAATGCTTAGAAAGAACCAAATAATATTTTATTATTTTTTATTTTTGAGTAATCGAATATTTGTACAGTTTTTTTTTTT